TTTTTAATAAATGAATTCTAAAGAACTTCGTACCTAACGTCCATTATTATTTCAGACCTTTACCAATCTCTTGTATGAAATACGCGCACGCACACACAAACAAATGGACTAGAACGGTAATGCGACGGAGCAAATCCTGTAAATCCACAGGCGAGGTTCTTCTGCTCCGTCCACTTTTTACTGTCCCGTTGTATAAGACACATCTAATTTTTTGACACGAAATTTTTGATGAAAAAATGCGCCATATACACTGGAAATACAAACATTTTTGTTAATCAAGATGTTGCTCATATGCTCACAAAATATTAATTGGATATAGTTGAAGTTAAATTTATTAATTAGATATATTTTTAGCCCAACTGGGTTTTAGACCAGACGGGCTGTTAATTTCGTTTTGCCATTTTGCGTTGGTTTGCTATAAAAGTCTGTATCGCTTTTCAACTTGTTACCACCAAATATTAGAGCCCTGTATTTTATTTAAAGAAATTAATTAATGAAAAATCTGCATAAATGTATGTGTATTTCTCGCATTGTGAAAACACAACGGTACCTAGATAAAGACATCCAATTTTGAATAACGTAATCCTCCGTTCTAAGATAGATATCTGTAAGGCCAAATTTTGGAATTTGTTTTATTATCTATTTCACATTTTATAAAACTTTAACAAAATTTTTATTAATAAACTCAACGATTTTAAAGCTTTCAATTAACATCAACATGGCTTGCATTTTCAAGCACGGAAATTTTATGCGCGAGATTTCTTTACATTTCTTACTGGTATTATGCTGGTATCGTAGCAACGCAAAGACGTTACAACTTCGAACAGTTTTTGGCGTCGAATGACTTTGAATGTCTGTTTCACTTTTAAAATCTCATTTTGAAACCCTCGTGAAAAAAAGTCCCTTTCGGCGTAATACAAAATATGAAATCTTTCAGATTCTTTTGGATTTAAATTATTAAGAAATACGTCGATTTTGGATTGCTAAGTGTGTTAAGCGATACAATTATAATTAAAAAATTATCAAATTAAAGATTTAAGATGCCACATAAAAAGGCAGTTGTTTGGAAATTATTTGTTAGACTGGTTACGTGGAAGAAGAATTGTGTACGTGCCCCCGTCTTAGACATTGCACGTCTGGTACCACGTCTGGTACCCCATATCAGGCAAGGGGCTGGATCCCAGAAATTTGGTTTCCCAACAATAGAATATACGCTAATCATGCTACCACCCCGGGGTTCCAATCCTGGGTGGCAGACTTTAAAAATGGTCTCTATAACCACGGTTACAGCCTGGGCCCGCGGGGTCACCACTGTCGTTTCTCAGGTTTCACCGAGGCGGGAAACTATCACCTTGGAGATCTGACTGGTCGTTTTAAAAGGCTACCCACCAGTACTACACGGGCTGCAATTCACAATAGGTCATTACCTAGCAAACTACGGTGCCGCCCCACACCGAAGTGTGATCATCACACCGAGCTATAGAGCCTACTGCTCCGTGACTTATGCCGACCCACCCAGGCAGGCTAACAGAGTTAGTCCTGAGGTATCTCCTCCTGGGCACGTGGAACCGCCAAGTTTAATGGTATTATACACCCGTGACCGAGACTGCCCAGGTACAGATCCTAGCCAGTAGCCTCACAGAGTTCTCTGCGTCGACCCTCGGGGGGTACTGGTTACTTGAAAGACAAATTTAAGAACGTATGGCCGGCCAACTGGTATAGTATCGGTAATTGCCGTGCCGAAGGCCCGGGTTCGAATCCCGCAGAGGGCAGGGATGTTTGTAAATGTATAGTGTCGGTGCTGGCAGGGAGGCACTCACTCAACGAGCCGAAATTCCTGTCGCCTGGTTTGGTGGAAGGGGAGAGGGGTGGGAGACCTCCCAGACCCGTCCCCCCGGTATGTTCTCCATCAAAATTGAAGGGGGGCGCAACTGAGCTAAATCGCACTGTCAACTGTAAGGTGCTCAAAGCTGTTGCGAACGACAGGCGTAATCTTGCGCTTTTTGCCACGAGGAATTTCGAGGGCTTCGGCTGATGTTACTGTCAGATATGTCAGCGGTGGAAAAACTGTCAAAGACTACATTAAAATATTTCCATATATGATCAAAATTCTCTGAGATATCATTAATTGAAATAATTTATATAATTAATGCTAAAGATTAGTGGAGTGTTTTTAAACAGAAACTGGTACTCTTCTGTTATTGGGGCCGGATTCAGAAATGTATGTATGCACAAGTATATGTATGTACAGGGGTTGGACAGAAATATGGAAACACCTTTAAAAAAACATGTTTCTTTGCTTAATGGGGTGTAGGAAACCCGTTGGCATCCAAAACAGCTTGCAGTCTTCTCGGAATGGATAAATACAGTTCCTGTATGTTTTGCCAAGGAAATATTATACCATTCTTCCTGCAAAAACGGTGCCAAGTTCAATAACGATGTTGGGCGGTGGATAACGAGAACGCACTTTTTCCGTTCCAATGTAGACCACAAAGGTTCGATAATATTCAGTCTGGTGACTGTGGTGGCCAGGGGAGATGGACAACTCATCCTCGTGCCTCAGAAAACCAGTCCTGGACAATGTGAGCTGTGTGAACAGGGGCTTTGTCGTCTTGGAAGACACCATCACCATCGGGGAACAAAGTTTTGTACCATGGGATGAACTTATTGGCCAAATGTTCACATAAGTCTTGGCATCATGTGCCCTGACACATTATCATGGGGCTAGCAGAGAACCACGATATGGCTGCCCAAACCATAACAGAACCCCCGCCATGTTTCACTCTTGGCAACAAGCAGTCTGTATTATATGATTGAGATGGCGTTCACCAGACGTAAACTCGGCAGAAGTGGGAAACAATGAGAAAGAAGACTCGTCAGACCATATACTCGCTTCCACTGCTCTATATCCAGGCTTTTATGACTAAACACCACTTTTCCTGTTACGGGCATTAGCATCAATCACTGATGAGTGGCTTCTCAATTGCAGCACGGCCAGATTCCTGTTTATGAAGCTCCCCTTCTAATTGTTTTGATACTCACAGGGTTCGTAACACAACATTCATTTCAGCAGTAACTTTTGCAGCTGTGGTCTTCTTTTTTTTTCGTCACAATTGCCCTCAATGATCGTCTGTCACGATCACTCAGGACACACTTTCGTCCGCGCTGTGATTTAGCAGATGATGTTTTTTCCGCCTTTTCAATATGCGGAATAAATCTTCGATACAGTACCTCTTGAAACACTAAACACCCTCGGCTACCTTGCTTACGTAAGCACCTACCATATGTGCTCCAACAATTTGCCTACGTTCGAAGTCTGTTAACTCCTACATAATGCAATGACGATCTCACATAACAGTACTCCGACAACAACTGAACTGTTTAGCACATTTACGAAATTGTATAGGTGGCGTCAGTAGTCAAAAACGCCAGCGCCACCTACATATTCCAATAAAATCAATCTTTCTTTTCAAACATGCATTTCACAAGGTGTTTCCATATTTTTGTCCATCCACTGTATGTGCGCATATATGTGTAACATACATATATAACAAGTATTTATATATATCTATATCTATATCTATATATATATACATTGCATACATGAACACATCGATCCGCACATACAATTCTGAATCCGGTCCCAATAACAGAAGAGTGACCAGGAATTTCTAGCACACTTTTCATGGGAAAATAATTTTGGTACTATTCGGTTTCGAGGGCCGTAAAATATTTGCAGCGAAAATGTCCGCGCAAAAGCGCCAAATCTAGCAAACGCGCCCATTTAACAGCGCGCCAAATCTAGCGCACGCTCTGATTTCAGATTGCGTAAGTTTATATAGTTCTATATTTCTTTAGACGCCATTGAAAAACTAGTTTAATTTTTAAATCTTTTTTTAATTATTATTTTAAATCCTTTTTTGATATCCTATGGATTCAACAATTTGAGACTTGCCCATGACGAAAAGTCTGGAATAGAATTTTGGGTAAAGTGCAGAATCATCCACTGCTTGGCGCGTTTTTAAGAATTGCACATACTCGGTATCCATGTGCGCATCGACCTATTTTCACTTCAAAAGAAAAATTCCTAGAATTGCACAAAAATGGCACTGCGCACACCCTTGACTTCATCTATGTACACATCGACCTATTTTCACTTAAAAAGTAAAAGAAAATTGACAAAAATTCAATTGTTTTTACCCTTGTAAAAAGCGGCAAAGAAATAAGTGAGCGATTCTGCACTTTACCAAGAATATTTTCAAATAAAAGTCATCATTCATTATAGAAAATTACGTTTGAACAAACAACGAGATGAAATTATGCTTTAGCGATAAGTTGGTAGCGAAATAGCGATGCAAGCATCCATTCAGTCATGTTTAGCCTTTTTCATATAAATTATAATAATAAAAAAGTATTATATGAAATTAACATTTCATCTAAATTAAAACATCAATCTTAAATAGTTATTTTTTATTATACTTCCTTTCTTGCCGCAATTTTTTTGGCAGCATTGGCATCAACAATAGTTTGGCTATTTTTTACTGCCCTCGAAACCGAGTAGTACCATGATTTTTAATATAGCCTCTAATAAAACGACATTTTCACTGACAGTGAAACTCAAATGTAATTTCAGCTATGAAATTTTGAAAACTATTTTCAGGGTTAATTTCACGTGTTGAAGCCTGGATATTTAACCAAAGGCGTGACTTGCTAATTGGAAGTTCCTTCATAGACGGCGCGTTTTAAAATTTTAAATTTGGTACATTATTAATGAAAAGTATCACATAACATTTCGATAGTCTGAAGGATTATTTTTTTTAATTATTTCTCCAACTGGATACATATAATTCTACCACCGAACAAGTTTCCCTGAAACATTCTATACTACATGTTTACGTATTGCATTCTTAAAATTCCGTGTTTCAACTTTTTATTGTTGTTTGACATAATTTAATTTTGTTCCTTCAACCGAGTTGATGAACTTAATCTTCAATTTTCAGATTCTTGTTTATCCAATCCTTGCCATAATAATGGGACATGTATATATTCGAAGAATGACTTCTACTGCCAGTGCAAGTCTCCATTTGATGGAAAGACATGTGAAAAAATAAGTATGGAATATTTCTTGAAACGTTAAACTATATAAATTAATGTAGTAATTCCTCTTTATAAAAACAGAGTATGCATTTTATGTATTTCAATTAAACTATTACCTTTTAAGTAACTCACTGAACTTTGACGTGCATTATTCAAAACGTAACTTTTTTAGTTTAGTTGATTATGCAAAGCACACTAGGGTTATCTGTCTAAAGGAAGGATGTCTTCGTGAGACTTTCTATCGAACACTGGCTCGTATACCCGTTACACATAGGAAGAACCCGAAAATGGGCATGCAGCCAGCCCGTTCGCCTGTTATCGAGCCCGTGTCGGAATTAGCAGTGTTCAGCGGTTTTACCGCTCGGCCGCTAGTTGGCCAGAATATATGTATTTTCTATATTTATTTAAATCAAAATAAGTTATTGAATAGCAAATAGCAAAAGTTTTATTTAATAACACTAGAGGATTTTTTGGGGGACAATCATTCGGAAACAGCTAGAACTATGTGCATCAGAATAAAGAGGAAAGGAAACGAAATCACAATTCTGGAGCCTTGACTAACTTCCCTCTTTTCATTTTCCGCCATTTGTATATATTAGATTAGATTTCCATTTTTTTTCTGTGTGATTTTTCTATTCGGAGACTGAAACTGAAAGTGAAACGCCGTTATATCTCTCTGTTCCTAGTCTCTCGTAAAGAGAAAACCGCCTAAGCGTCTATCGTGCATGGAGAACGGTAAGATTGGAATGCAGGGCACGGTAATTGTAAGGAGATATTATATTCTCTCCAGCACATTTCTTTGGCCTCTTCTTGAGATTAAAACCGCAGGCATTTAGCTATCCTTGTGAGTGTTAATCTGCTGATCACTTGTTCTTAGTATTATAGACTTGGGAATACACTTTCTGGAGTTTCTGTTTTCGGGAAAGCTTAATGTGGGGCTTCAATTTGCGTAAAAATACGGTTAGCCCTTGCATAGGAATCTGTGTTCCCTTCTTGAACTCCCTGGTGGTTGGGGCCACCGGGTTGTCTAATTTCAATTATGGATTCTTTAGATAAACTTTGCATTTCAAACAGCACGATGAATACTTCCAGTACACATAAACAAGTGTAAATGCCGATGTATGTTATAACAAATGTTTTGACCTCGTTTCCTAATTATCAGCAATACAACAGCGTAACTTTAAAAACTCCGTTGTTCAGTTGTTCTTAGAAAAGCGTATAAAAGTGAACACGACTGGCCAAAGAACAATCAAACAACAGGAAACGACTATTCAGGCAGCCTGTTAATTGAAACCATTTATCCTGGCAAGTTTGCAATCCTTCTCGGATTTAATAAACTCGGACATGCAAGTGCCTCAGAACATAAAACTTTCTCTGGGGATTGATCTCAAAGTTCAGTCTCGTTTTTCACTTCTGACAAATTCGTGTCTGAACAGCTCCGGGTCAGAAAGCCTGTGTTGGTAGGCAGATCAAGATGTGTAGAGAAGGTAAGTTGATTAATATTGTTACGTTTTTTCTGACACCAGTTGTTACGTTATTTTCTTCCTTCACTTTCGTACGGGGTTTGTGAGGATTTGGAGTGAATAATGACAATACTACTTGATGAGGTATCGAAACGCACTTTATTAGCCAGTATTGTCAGGACAGCTCCAAAACACGTTTTTACAAACACGTTGATGAACTACTATAAACACGCTGACACGATCAGCGACACAGCCTCCAGGCTATCACGGTGGAGATAGTTTCACGGCAAAGTACTAGAGTACAGCTCCCGACTCTGCTTAGTCCTTCTCGGAACTGCACGTACTCTCGAGACTTTCCACGCTACAACTCGCGATGCACTCGACGACACGCAGAGCACAGTTCCTGACTCCTTCGGTGCACTCGACGACACACTCGGCACTCGCTGCCCGGCTGTCAACTCGATCGACTCCTTACGGACTGATTCACTAGACGAGGCACACACACTCGCACTCTATGGGAAGCATACCCTGACTTCGGACCAGCGGGGTTTATATATCTTCCGGCTTGTGTTCGAGAACATTCTGGGCTGAACCGGTAAGAATTCGTTCCAGAAGGTTCTCCATCCGTCCATGGCATATCGCCAATTTTGTCGCCAAATGGGCGATTTCTCGCGAAATGTGGCAGCCTTGCCATTTTATGGCAACCCTAAATCTGCTTTGCGGGAAAGCTATCTTACCGCGCCTGGACATTTCGTAACAATATGTTATTTTGACACACATTCCTGCCTTTCAATTCACCCGATGTGCCAAAATGTGGACAGGCCGGTTATTTAAGGTACCCCGTTAGACCATAAAATATGTTTCCCATGTGGCGTTTACAGTGTCAGTGTTTTAGCCACTCATATGCACCGCTATGCAGCTGTGTGTAAAGTGCAAAGAGGAACTCAAACGTTTTCTGTCATACCTGCCCCAAGTGGGAAAATGAGCAGGCTATCAAGGTTATGAAAAAAAAAATTTAACCAGGCCGTATTACACTACATAAACATGGTTCCAAGAAGTAGTTGTTAATTTGCTGTGAGAATTAACAGCTTAAATAAAGTTAGGTAAACTGCGTTTTAGTGTTCTGTGAGTAGTTTTGAGAATTTACGATATTTCTCATGTGATAACTGCTCTTAAGCTTTTTAATTTGCTTTACAACTTTATTATTTATAAATATTGTCAATTTCTTCCTGTTCAATTGGAGTGATTATTTAAACAGACAACTACGAAACGTAGCTTGAGACATTATTATTATTTGCTGATAGTCCTCTTCTTTTCAGTTAAATTATTTAATAAATGGCTGTTTTTGAATATGCATATCTAAATACACTGGAAATTATTTGTATGCAATTCATTAGGGGTATAATGAAATGGATATCTATAATAAAACTAATTGGTATTTATAAATGGACACCTAGAACGAATTTTTTTAAATTTTATTTATTTATTTATTTATTTGCTTTTAGGTCCCTGTGAATCTAACCCGTGTCAGCATGGAGGAACTTGTACTAGCTCAGGGGACAATTTCACTTGCAAGTGTGAGTTACCGTACTACGGGAAGACTTGCCAAGAAAGTATGAAGTGATTTCCATGTGTTGTGTCTTTTAAATGGATAAATATACAAACATATGGACTACACAACAAATTTAACGAAAACTGTGCAAATTATCTTAATTTTAAAATTGCACAAATTTTTCTGGAAGGATAAGCGACTTATACTATTGTTGTATATGCTACATTGCAAACACGGGACACATATCGACTGCATTTCCAGAAACATAAAGTTACTGGATTGATAAGCTATGTGACTCATTTACAATGAAAACAACAAGATAATTCAGAATGGAAATTTTCTTTTCTATTCCCTTTACTTTCAGTTTAAATTTGTTGCTTAACTGTTGTAATTTTAATATAATTCTGAATAGTTATGGTGTAAGAAATATATCTTTCGTCTACAATGCTGACTCAATATTCTTCAACCAGGGCCCTCAAAATACGAAACTAGCTCCTTAGAAATAGAGAAATCAGCTTTTAGAATTCGTGAGATCATGTCTCGAGATATTATTATTTTTCTCTGGCAGTATTACTCTGATCAGTCAGTGTAAGTTAATACACAAGAAAAATCAATGAAATTGAAATGAAGTTTATAATTAACTTATGTTGAGGCTGAAATACAACTATTTTCCTGGATATAATAAATGTAAAAGACGTCTAATGCCATGCCTTTCCTGTTTTTTTTTTTTTTTTTTTTTTTTTTTTTTTTTTTTTTTTTGTATCATGCTACGTTACGATAGGTTACTCTAATAACAGTTTTATGTTAAGTTACACTAACAAGCACGTAGTTTGGCTCTAAAAAACTACGTGGCTGATTAACGTCCTTGTAGGGACTATATGGGTACAATGATTTTTCAAAGGCTGTTTCAAAAGGACAGACAGTTTGCTAGTTTGACAAGCGTAGTTATTCCGCAAGATGCTGAAGTTGTATTCTAAATCAAGAATATGTATTTCTTAACAAACTGAGCGATTTAAAATCTACAAATTAAATTAGTTACAACTTTTTTGTATCTATATCTAATTAAGGTAATTAAGGTAATTTGTAATTACCTTAATTAGATATATATATCTGCGTGCAGGGCGCAATAAAAAATTTGTTTTCATTTCTAAACTATAATTCTAAACTATAATTTCTAAACTATAATTCTCACTATAGACTATAATTCTCACTATAGACTATAATTCTCACTATAGACTATATTTATTTCTAAACTATAATTCTCACTATAGACTATATTTATTTCTAAACTATAATTCTCACTATAGACGCGCTTAAACCTCAGTTTCGGCAGCCTTTATACGGAATTCCAATTTTTTTTCCAAGAATTTAAAAATTCTTCCCGCACGGAATCTCAGTATCTACACATAAATGAATTCCTTATTTTGAAATTTAAAGTTTAATGCAAAATTGAATCATATTTTCTATATATACATCCGCATGTTGGGAAAAAGAAGCATTTCGGGAAAAGTAATACATGCGTGAGTTTGGAGCTCTCTTTTCCCCTTAGCGATGAAATGAGCATTGCCTAGAAACGGAAGGATATTGGTGTTTCCATTAATAGTGTTCAACTGTTATATGACGGCTGCATTATGCAACTACTCTCGAGCTTATTAATAGGCAAAACGTACCGTTGCTAAAGACAGGCGGAGTTATCATTTGAAAACTTTAGGATGTTTATCAAAAAATGCTGTTCAGCATTCCTTGATGCTAGCTGTTATCGAGGAATGCTGTATTATTTGCATAAAAGAGTCAAACTTCTCGGAATTTCTCTAGTGCTATTTGAGCAACTGATAATATTTGCCTAGGGTGCAGTCACGCTTGGAATGCTTTAGTTCGAGAAATATTTATAATAGTCATAAAAATAAGCTAAGCAAAACAAGCAAATAAAATCGGAAAATCAAAATTCTTTAATATTTTGAAAACGAAGCAACTTAAAATGATAGAATTTTGATTTTATGTATTTACTTTAACACAAAATTCACTACGAATGACAGAAGTTCAAACCTGCCATAGAAAAGATAAGGTAAAATGATGTGACATAGTAGGAATAAAGAGCTTAGAATTTAAAAAATAAATAAAAAATTTCATAAATTATAGTAAACCTTTACCAGAAAATCAAAAGAAAGCTAATCATGACAAAAAAAAAAAAAAATTAGTGTTGATTTTGCGATAGTTCTAATGGTACCGGAAACGATTTTGTCCGAAGTCAGATCATTCTTCCGTAAAATGATTTCGTAAGAAACACATAACGGAAAATGTACGCCGATAGAAGTCTAAAGAATATGTAGTTGAATATGACTTACGAAGCTAGAATACTCAAGGTCAACGGCCATTGCTGTAGAATTTCCAGTGGCATTGTTTCTGATGATATTTCACAGAGTCGTAGCTAGTGTTTTCAGCGCTCAGGGACAACTGGAAATTTCGCGCCCCCTACTGCTTGCCAAGATGGAAAACATTTAATTCTAAAATGTCGTAACATCAGTTTGGTGCCCCTCGGATTCTGCGCCCGGAAACAGATGTCCCCCTCTAGCTACGCCCCTGATATTGCAGATGCGTGTGAGAGATGCGTTTTCTATCTTTACTTTGAACTGAGAACAATCTAGTTTCAAAGTAAGACTCATTTGGAGAAAACTATATTTATAATCTTATGCAAACATTCAACGTTTCCACTTGCTTGAAATTGTAGCCAGGAATTCAACATGGAAATGGGCGATTGGTATTCACTAATCAGATGTTTTATACGTTGATGGTATCTTCTCAATTGGTATGTACGATATACCCCAGAATATTTTTGTCTGGCATTGTCCTTGTGCAAAGCTGTTACGCTGTGAGGGAAGATATGAGGCTGCAAACTAGTTCACTATATCAATGAAAAGCGTGTTGCTAAAAGCTCCAGCAAAGTTTAAACTGTTTCTGCAAGCCAGTCCGCTTTCTGTTTCCTAACAGCCTATCGATAAGATACAATAACACGCCGAACAAATATTAATTTAGAAGTCAAACAACAAAAATCAGCTTTTATATTTTCAAATTTTCACAGGAGTAATCTATTCTTCCCATCAATAAAATTCCAAGTTCCATGCTCAAGGACCGAATTCGGATATGATTTCCTCGGGTATTTACAGGATTCCTTGGCAGTGTGGTTTAATTTACGTTGGCCAAACTAAGAGAGTCTTAAAATTTCGCATTAAGTAACATGAGGCATATGTTAGAAAAAAAGAAACCCAGAAGTCTCTTGCCCAGAATTGTTGGCCCGAAAATCCCACTTTCAATTTTTCTGCAGCCAAAATTATTCAAAAAACATCTTGGTGATTTGGATTTTCTAGAGTAATTTCACATTCAAAAAAATCTTTCTCTTCTAATTAACGACCCTAATTTCAATCCATCTTTGCCTTCAGCCTTATTATGGTTTAGTTATTATTTATTTAAATTATGCTTTAGTTCTCGTTTCATCAATAGAGGGCGCCAGTAGATTAACTTCTGTCCAGTCTTTCTTATCTAATCGCTATATCTTATCTCGTTCATTTTCGCTTTTGCAGCTGAGGATGATGGTTCGGTAAAGCCTATCGTTGTCAGGATCTGTGTTATGATATTCTCTTGCCAGAACTTTGCCAAAATCAAAGATGTCATTATACAAATTGAAACGGATAGTAGTGCAGCAACTACAAAAGTCAAGAGACTGTGAGTTGCAAACTTCTGGAAAAAGAGTTGTATGGAGCGTTTATAGATATCACTATGAAGTTTGAAGAATGGTCTCTAGGAAAGCAAAAACAGTATGAGATCAATAACGAAATGGAAAAAAAAAAAAAAAACATCTGGATGAATTCTTATACTCAATACATAAGAATATTATTAGAAGAATCAGATCTAGTCGCTTCGTTAGGAAGAACCAACATCTTGCCGTCCGAATAAAGACCAAGTTTGTTTCTCTCTAATATGTTCGGAGCTGGCAATATTTTTCTCTCAGTACGGAGAATTCTTTCATAGAAAAGCGACAAAACGTGTTTTTCTAAATACTAAAAACCGTAGATGGTGTGACAGAATTATTTTCTATTGCAACTGAAGAGAATAAAGGAGAATTGTTGGATATTGTATTTATCGCATTAAAGTATTGAAAAAATTGTAACATGTTGCATTACGAATATGTGTGCAATTCGCACACAATGAAAAAGAAACTCTGCGTGCAAAAATCCTGATTTTGTTTCCTGATTACAACTTGTACGTTGTCTTCAACACAGATTTTGCACAAACTTTGAAGCTGTTAATGTAATTGATCAAATATGATCCTAGCTTTAAACGTTAACTGATTTGATAATAGTCGTACATGTTTTGCGTAATAGTAATAAATAGCCGCTTGTTAAATATTTTTACAAGAAAAAAAATGACCTAAGTGAAAGTTGCATGCAAAAATACTGTGTTTAGGAGCATATTTAGGAGTAAAATACCACCTAAGAAATTATTTTGAAGTTTCTAAATTCAAATTGAAATAAGTCAAGTAAATTCGCTTTGTATTAAACGAATGCTATGAACATTAGAGCCTGAAAACATATACGATTCTGAAAGGAATAAATATATTTTAAAAAAAAATCGCAGTATATCCTCGGGAAGTTTTTGTCAGCTCGGTGAGGAAGTTTATCAGTGGCCGACCATTCAAGTTAATTGATTTGGTTCGGTTTATTTGATTATAGCAAAGCACTTGAGGGCTAACTGCCTAGGATTATGCCTTCGTGGAGGACGTTCTGAGAGAAACATGCTCGTATACACGTTGCACGTGGAGAAACCACGAAAATGGTCATGCAGCCAGCCCGTCCGTGGGATTGGAACCTCGGACCGAACTACCAGTATTCAGCGATTTTACCGCTCAACAGCTGGTGAGCCTCAAGTTAACTGTATTAAAACACTAAATACGTATGTAGTAAGTAAAATAAATAATTTTGTTTAAATGTTTGTGAACAGAATATAATTTAAATTAAGGACTTAGTTCTGCTTAAGAAGTAAAAATGGCGTACAGTTTTCCTTTTATAAACGGAGAAAAGTGGAAGGAAAATTTAATTACGTATGTTACCTAGCATTTGTAATAACTAGCGAGTAGTGTAATTTTTTTTACATTAGGTGATAAATGTAATAACTATATGTCAGAATAAATATTTATGATTATAATATAATTACACCGCAGTAATAATATAAGGGTGACAACTAACAGTGTTCATTAATATATCTTAATGATTAATGTAACTATTGTACGAAAGCAATGATATATTAATGAATAATTTATTATAGCTAAATATAATGTAATTAATATTGCTTATGTATAATAATTAATGCTGTTCAATAATCGTTTATTCACTAATATCTGTTAATCTCTACAACAATAATAATGTCATAGTAATACATTTCCTAGGATCTTAATTCAAGATTTTTATCATTGCATTTAAAGCGTGATTATCACCTTGACGTATAAGGTCTGAGGCTTATACCTTACGTCTTACACAATTTCCAAATCTTAAATCCTCGTAATCCTGCTTTTCAAAGACAAAAACAAGGCACCGTTGCCTCTGCAAAATGTCTGTGTCTAGGGTCACTGACTATTCCAGTCGAGCGTTACTATAAGAAATTTCTTATTCCATGTCTCGTAAAACTATTCGGATCTTTAGAGAATCTTAAATAACAAGGCAATGTTTCGACTATTTAAAATATTTTACCTCAGCATTTATTTTATATATAGGTAATAGTGAATACGTTTTCTTCTTTTTCTAAATCTAATTCCAATATTCATTATTTCGCCGTACCAGACAAGATCAATATCTGTAAAATTTCGCAAGTATTGTAATATACACTGCTCATTGAAAATGCAACACCAAGAAGGAGTGGTCAGAAATTTATGCAAATTTTAGAGTAGATACACGTCACTAAGTTATGCGAATGATGTGAAATGCGCAGCTCTCCGACGCACGTAAAGTAAGATATAAGGAAAAGAACGTGCAGAATGGGCAATATTCGTGTCGTTATTTCTGCCAGACGAATTATCGAAGAAAGTTGGTTTTTGCCCCGGAGGATACGTGTAATAGGAGAGAATGCCAGACTGCCGTCAACGAAGGCAATTCCAGCAGATAGACGATTTTGCGATGCGTATGGTGATCGGACTGAGAAGGGCGGGTTGGTCCTTACGTCAAATCGGAGCTGATACCTACTTGGATGCGAGCACGGTGCATCGGCTATGGCGAACATGATTGGAACAAGGAAATGTGGGAAGAAGGAGGAGTGCAGGTGCAGCCAGAGTGACGTGAGCACGCGTGGATAGACGCATCCGCCGACAAGCTCTGGCGGTCCCGCAAGTCACTTGTACCGCGATTCTGCAGCATATGCAAGATAATCTGGATGTTCCCGTGTCGACCAGAACCATTTCCCGTCGATTGGTTGAACGTGGCCTGCACTCACGGCGTCCGTTAAGAAGACTGCCATTGACCCCACAGCATAGACGCCAACGTTTAGAATGGTGCCGGACTGGAGCGATGTGGATGACAGAATGGCGAAACGTCGTGCTCTCAGATGAGTCACGCTTCTGTTTATCAAGTGACAGTCGCCGCATACGTGTGTGGCGTCGACGTGGAAACAGATCTAATCCTGAAGTAACTGTGGAACACCCCACCTCGCGACAACGTGGCATAATGGTTTGGGGCGCTATTGCCTACGATTCCAGGTCACCTCTAGTTCGTATGCAGGGCACTATGACGACCCAACGATACTTGGATAATGTACTGCGGCCGGTGGCAATCCCCTACCTTCAGGGGCTGCCTAATGCAATTTTTCAGCACGATAACGCCCGACCACACAGTGTTCTCATCTGCAACATGCTCTGCAAGGTATACAGATGCTTCCCTTGCCACCGTACTCTCCTGACCTGTCACCAATCGAACGTGTGTAGGATGTGATTGGACGCCGTTCGCAGACTCTGCCCCTGCCTCGTTCAGAAGACGAACGGTGGCAAATGGTTGAAAGGGAATGAAGAGCCATCCATCCCTCAGGACACACACCATCCGCACTCTTATTGGTTCTATGCCTAGACGTGTTTCTTCGTGCTTCACTATCCGGTGGTCCTACATCCTACTGAGCCGACGCCGTTCTCGCTCTGTATTCTGACTATCATTTTGAAGTAAAGATCACTTATTGCTGCTTGCTGTCTCTGTCTTTTTTCCAAATTTCATCACTTTCTAACCACTCCTTCTTGGTGTTGCATTTTTAATGTCGAGCAGTGTATATGTCAAAACCAATGATTTGTTCTCTTTGGAATTGCATTATTTCACGATTTGATGAATTATCAATGGCAAATTTTTCATTCAAGTTTAAGATATTTATTTCTTTAGGAATGTAATTGATTAAGCCTCTATGTGGATGTAGAGATTTATCAGTTTTTGTCTCCTTCTGTGTAATTGATCAGATGACTTCAAATGTTTAAACAACAATAAATATTTATTTATCTATCTTTTATATCCTCAGGTATTCAGGATTTAAATGTCTGTAGAAATTCTGGTATGATGATGCACGAAATGAGGACAAGCCGTAGCCCCAACTCTGATATTTACGGAAATATTGTGGCTAAGTTAATTGATCATGTCATTAAGTGCAATTGCTCGTATCCATACAGCGGGAGGTTTTGCGAAAAACGTGAGTTTTCTATATATAAAATAATGCCTTTGTTATTTATTTATTTACTAAAAAAAAGTGTTTATTGTTTAATTGAATATTTATTTATCTTCAGCGCCAAGTAAATGTGACTCCCCCGACCGTTGTCAGAATAATGGTCTATGTGTCCACAGAGAGTCAAGTGTTGATTGTATATGCCGATCTCCGTATGCAGGAAATAAATGTGAAATAGGTAATTAATTTAAATAAAAGTTTTCCTAATAGTGTTTCGAGGAATCTAAAGGTTCCGCGCGATAAAATTATGCATACTTGTAATTTAACTAATCGTAATAAATAATTGTACTTGCAATTTAATCTAGTACATAGGTGATGGCGATTGTATGCGACTGCAGCTCATCTTAGGAAACAACACGCATATTGCTGCGATTGGTTAAAATCTCATTATATGAACAGTTCATATACATATTTTAGGTATCAATATCGTATTACAAGTAGCAGCACAAGTTTCGTAAGAATACGATTATTCTGGATTTAATTTTAAGAAGAAATTTTTTTGATTCAATGTATTTATTTCCCTACATATTCCTCTGCAGCCACGGCAAAATTTACAAAATTTATTGCACCATGTTAGAACCATCTTTATCCTCTTCAGTATAGGAAATCATGAAATGAATTTAAACACCAGTGCACTGCAAACTCCTGAATATAATGTACAGAGGTTGGACAAAAATATGGAAACACCTTTAAAAAAAATATTTTTTTTTGCTTAATGTGGTGTAGGAAACCCGTTGGCATCCAAAACAGCTTGCAGTCTTCTCGGAATGGATAAATACAGTTCCTTATGTTTGCCAAGGGAATATTATACCATTCTTCCTGCAAAACGGTGGCAAGTTCAGATAACGATGTTGGCGGTGGATAACGAGAACGCACTTTCCGTTCCAATGTAGACCACAAAGGTTCGATAATATTCAGGTCTGGTGACTGTGGTGGCCAGGGGAGATGGGACAACTCATCCTCGTGGTCAGAAAACCAGTCCTGGACAATGTGAGCTGTGTGAACAGGGGCTTGGTCGTCTTGGAAGACACTATCACCATCGGGGAACAAAGTTTGTACCATGGGATGAACTTGATCGGCCAAAATGTTCACATAAGTCTTGGCAGTCATGTGCCCTGACACAGTTATCATGGGGCTAGCAGAGAACCACGATATGGCTGCCCAAACCATAAAAGAACCCCCGCCATGTTTCACTCTTGGCAATAAGCAGTCTGTATTATAGGCTTGAGATGGCGTTCACCAGACGTTAACTCGGCCAGAAGTGGGAAACAATGTGAAAGAAGACTCGTCAGACCATATTACTCGCTTCCACTGCTCTATAGTCCAGGCTTTATGACTTAAAACACCACCTTTTCCTGTTACGACGGGCATTAGCATCACTGATGAGTGGTTCTTCTCAATTGCAGCACGGCCAGCAATTCCCTGTTTATGAAGCTCTCTTCTAATTGTTTTGGTACTCACAGGGTTCGGTAACACAACATTCATTTCAGCAGCAACTTTTGCAGCTGTGGTCTTCTTATTTTTCGTCACAATTGCCCTTAATGATCGTCTGTCACGATCATTCAGGACACACTTTCGTCCGCGCTGTGATTTAGCAGATGATGTTTTTTCCTCTTTTCAAATATGCGGAATAAATCTTCGATACAGTACCTCTTGAAACACTAAACACCTCGGCTACCTTGCTTACGGAAGCACCTACCGTACGTGCTCCAACAATTTGCCCACGTAAGTCTGTTAACTCTGACATAATGCAATGACAACCTCACATAACAGTACTCCGACAACAACTGAACTGTTCAGCACATTTACAAAATTGCATAGGTAGCGTCAATAGTCAAAAACGCCAGCGCCACCTACATATTTCATTAAAATCAATCTTTCTTTTCAAACATGCATTTCACAAGGTGTTTCCATATTTTTGTCCATCCACTGTATGTGAATGTGATTGCATGAAAGTGATTATTGTTTTGGTGTTTGAAGATTTATGGAAGATGTGCAAGTAGAATCCCCGATAAGCAAACTTCAGTTTTTTTTTTTTTTTTTTTTTTTCGGTTATATGATTATATGAGATGGTAACACGCCTTTGTCACACAAAAGGAAAGTAGTTTTTCAAGGAAGCAAATCAGATTTATCTTACTAAATTACGTTTAGCTCTACCCCTCATTGTGTTTTCGTCCATTATTTTTGTGCGACAATCGTTTGGAAAACATAAACAATGCAATTCTTATATTACAGTGATATTTTCAATTGAATAAGGCGAAGGCTATTTGCCTAAGTGTGTTCAGAGAGAAAAATGCCTCGTATTCAGCCCAAACAGAAGACAAACCAAAAATGAACATGGAGCCAACATGTTTTCCAGTATGAATAACGATCAAATGGTTCTAGAATGGCAACTATTTCATTCGTTTTATTTAAAAATAACAAAATATTATTGTTATAATATATATAATTTTATTAACAATATTAATAATATATTATATGTTAATACATAATACCATTAAGACAGTGGTTCCCAGACTATGCTCTGATGAAATTAAAAAGTTAAGAAACAAAACCTAGGATAAAAATGGAGGGGAAAAAACTATAAATTACATTCCGAAAAGGGATTATGTGAAATTAAATTTCATCTCTTCTCTAGCAGACAACACGTCGTTTTCTAGAGGACATGCACATTGTTTATAGTACGAAACATATGAAAACAAATGTTTTGGAGGTACTGCTCTGGTAGTAGTAGTAGTAGTAGTAACAACGTACTGTTCTAGCATCAGAACAGGATCCAAAACTGTAAAAAATGTACGTATGCATGTATATATGTATTTATATATTCTTGTATGCATGTATATATGTATTTGTATATTCTTGTATGCATGTTTATATGTAAGCACTAATGTATGTATGTGTACATATACGCATATATTACACTCGCGTGTGTAATGATTATACACACGCGCATACATTCATACAAATCCAATCCGATAACCGAACAGTGCTGTTCTGGAAGCCGTAACACATTAAACAGTTGAAATTTTTAGTTTGTGAAGTTTAGCTGCCGCGACTTTCCTAATGTGTATAATAGTCAGCGATGCAGGTTCTTGCATAGTTGGGATCGGTTTCGAATTTCGGAAGAGTATGGATGGTTTTTAAGTGTACAGTGTCTGTGCGGCATGGGAGTGCTTAAAATATTGACAAGCCGAAAGTTCTTTCAAGGGGGTCTGATGGTAAGGAAACAGAGGTAAAGGATTCTCTAATCTGTGTCCTGCGAACTGTCCATCAAAATTTGGGCGAGCTGCACAGTTAGCATGGTGGGTCTGTATCTGTATCACCGATAGTGAAGTTCTGGTATAACGCGCAATTATATACCTAAATCTGTTGTGCTAGAATTCAAAGTCGAATTTTGATTGCTGATTGGTATTTTTTTTATTCTGATTAATTTTCATGGATAGGTCAAATAGGAGATGGATCCAGTTTAATGGGATGGATATTTTAACAAAGTACATTAATATATTTGATATATATTAATATCAGTTCCGCAACGAGAAGGAAAAAAGGTCGCGTAGTGTAATAATCTAAAAATTATTCTTTTTATATCCGCAAATTATTAAAAAATAATTATAACCGACATACATTGAAAATTATATTTACATAAAAATGATGACTCTTTAAAAATTCTTTGCAGATATGTGTAGTCCAAATCCTTGCAAGAATGGTGGCACGTGCAATACACATGGATGGAATTCAATATATATTCAGAAGAATGCATCAACGTACTGCGAGTGTAAATCACCATTCTTTGGAGAGTTCTGTGAGCTAGGTAACTAGAAATAAAACTGATAAGATTTGTTAAATTTCTATTTTCTTTAGTCGTTGTTAAGTTACAAAATAATTAACATTTTTATTCCAGATCCATGCAGTTCAAATCCTTGCATGAACGGAGGTAAATGCAACATAGTTGGTAACAATTCCACTTGTGACTGTAAGAAACCATTTTTTGGAGAGCATTGTGAGAATGGTCAGATATGGTTTAAATTTCAAATATTCAACAAATTCTTTTAAATCTCGACGTGAAATATAGTTCCAGATTTTTTCATTCTTGATTTTGAATTGCATTTTAGATCCTTGCACATCAAATCCATGCATGAATAATGGAAAATGCAAAGTTATTGGAGAAAATTCAACGTGCGAATGTAAGAAACCATTCTTTGGAGATTTTTGTGAAATAGGTACGAAATAGATCGTAAAATGTCTTGCAATGCAGTAATGTTTTTCCCCACAATATTTCGTTTTATTGCAGCAGATTAAATATGAAATTTTTTAGATCCTTGTACATCAAATCCATGCATGAATGGTGGGCAATGTAAAGTTGTTGCAGAAAATGCAACATGCGATTGCCAAGGACCATTCTTTGGAGATCTTTGCGAACTGGGTAAGTTAGGTATCATTAAGTTTCACATGCTTAATTCAGAAACAATATTGCTCTTTAAATATATTTCAGTGTAGAAGTGAACCTCAAATATCTTTTCAGATCCTTGCACATCAAATCCTTGTATGAATGGAGGAAAATGCAAAATTGTTGGAGTAAATTCGATATGTGAATGCAAGAAACCATTTTTCGGAAAGTTCTGCCAAATAAGTAAGCAATGCGTTGCAATATTTGAAATATTTATTACAAAAGGTGGTTTGAAAGTCTGAAATGTTTTTAAAAAGTTGTACTTCGAAGGAATTTGCACGTATAATAGTGCAATTAGATAGTATACAATTCGACAGTGGCTGTTAGACAACCCTAGAGCAATTAGTAGGGATATACATGAAATTGCCTGGTTTTATTCTGAACATAATTTTATTATGTAAATTTGGAACTGCAGTTTTGTGCGCATACCTACGATGGTACTTATCCTCCTCCGAAGCACTCATCCCTATATAGTACTTATCCTTCTATGTAGGTAGTACGTATAACTCCTATGTAGGTAGTATATAACTCTTCCTAATGAGTAAAAGAAATTCTGCAAGGCAGGATTTTTGGATTCTGAGATAGAATTATATGTATCTTGCAAGTGATAATAAAGCATTGCACGATATGAAGAAGATCATGAAGCACTGGACGCTGTAAAGAACCTACATAGTTTCGTATCGGGTTCGCTGTAGGATACATTTGATACTTTATTTGTGATATATGCAAACTTTGTCAAAGAGATATCTTTGAAATCTTTAGTTGAGAAAAATTGTAAGCATAGTAGAAACGTTTTATAGTAGCTTTAGAAATAGAGGTTCATCTGGTGATTTGCCTATGTACAAATGATTACCAGTGCTAATATTTCTATTAAGTTGGGGGCTTAAAATTGAAAATAATTCTCTTTCGACAGAGGAGTGGAATTTATGCTTGCACCTGACGTCTCCGTTTCTCTTTCATTGCATTTTTCGTTGCCTCGAATACCTAACAATAAAGAAATCCAGTGAAAGGAATTCATGGGATCTCTATTATTGCAATGTGCTAATCGGTCAAAAGTTGCCTCTAATATCTAACAATAAAGAAATCCAGTGAAAGGAATTCATGGCATCTCGATTATACGTCATTCTATCTGGGAATTCTGAATGCGTGATTCTGCCTTTGAAGTAAAATTACCAACATGTTCCTAACTCTTACTTGCCTTACTCTTCTTTTTCTATATAACGTTGACTCTGCCTGGACGAGATACAGGCATTAAACTGTATAATATTCATATGTGATGAAGCTTCTCTCTATACTGCTTTATTCTTACTTTGGTTAAAGCAAGTTATAAGCCATTATATTTATTAAACTTAATCCCCCCCATATCCCATTTATTCTTCCACCGCCAAGTGGTAAAGTGGGTGAACACTGGAGTTCGATTTCGAATCGCGTCAAACAGGCTGGCAGCATGGGCGTTTTCGTGCTTTTCCCTTGTGTATACGAGCGAAAGTCCTTCACTTAGGCAGACAGCCCTCATGTGTTTTGAATTAATTAAATAAACCAAACCATGCACCATTATTTTTCCGGTTTAGTCATAAGTCCGTCCTTCGGACGGTTAGGTAGGCAGGTCCGTTCCCAGTTGCCGCACCCAATTAAATTAAAAATTCTTAACCTGTTTTTAATTCCTTTAATTATTTTCCGATTGCCATGTTTTTCAATATTTAACTCTGGATTTTACATTACGATGCTTTAAAACGTCATTTAACTTTTACTTAAACTGCTTTTAATTAAATATTAGTTTATGAAAAACACTTTTTTTAGCTTAAACTTAATATGGATACCAATATAGTTTACATCTCTTTACAAGAATTATTCATTTCTATGTAATAAAAATCTTTCAATCTAATAAAGTGAATGTTTAAACTTTTTTCAGGTCCTTGCACCTCAAATCCTTGCATGAATGGCGGAAACTGTAAAGTTATTGATGAAACTGTAGCATGCGAGTGTAAGAAACCATTCTTTGGCCGACGTTGCGAAATAAGTAAGAATGGAATTAAATATTTAATAGAATTTTCTCTCTCTTTTCACTACCTAAAATCAGTTATATTTCCTTTTCGTTCACTGAATGTGTTTTCTTTTTATTCGCTTTTAAGGTCCTTGCACATCAAATCCTTGTATGAATGACGGAAATTGCAAAATTCTTGGGAAAGGTTCAATATGCGAATGCATAAAGCCGTTTTCTGGAAAGCGTTGCGAGATAGGTAAGACAAAGAAAACTTTTATCTATTTAATGTAAGGAACTTTACTTTTGCTGGCATATATATTACATCTGCAGTGAATACCTCCGCAATAAAAAAGTAAAAGAGGAAGGATTTTATCGTTACTTGCTTCTTAACTAAAAACGCAGAAGACAAAACTGACCAGCACAATTTTTTTCCTGCATTTCTTTTAATTTACTTTCTAAACTTTTTTTGAAGGCATGTTGGTTGTAATGATATTAATTGCTTCAAACGTCGGTAGTTTCATTGTTTTTCCCTCTATTGGAAACTCGTTTGTGTCTATTGTGTCGTCTATATTATCACAATAAATAAAAATAAAAATAAAAAAAAATCTGAAACTTCCAGATTTTAAATTACCCCCAAATGGGCGTTTTTTAACTTTTCGTGTGTTACTTTTATTTGTTAAATATTAATTAATCAAAGGTCGCTTTTAATTACATCAAAGGTCACTCTTATCTATCTAAATCACATAAAATTCAATTCAACACAGCAAATAACACAAAATATTTAAAAATAGCATATCTACAGTATTTCCAACAGAGAGCCTTGCACGCAAGAGATACTTTTTTTTTTTTTTTTTTTTCTATACAGTGTATTGCCACTGCTCGCTTTAAAATCGTTGGATTATTTTAATCAAAAATTCGTTAAAATTTTAAAAAATGTGAAATAGATTCGAATATAATAAAACAAATTCGAAATTCAAAATTCGGACTTCCAGGTGCCCATGTTCGAGTGGAGGATTACGTTAATAAAACTTTGGTGGCTCCAGGTACCGTAGTTTTTACACAATGCGAGAAACATACCTACATTCATGCACATTCTTCTTTATCTAATTTCTTTTAAAATAATACAAGGCGATAATATTTGGTGACAACGATTTGAAAAGTGATTCAGATATTTAAAGTGATTCAACACAAGATGCCGTTTTGAGATTAACAGCCCTGCTGGGTTAAAGCCCATTTGAGGTAAAAAGAAAAAAAGAATAAAGCGTGTGAAAGAGGTGAATATAGATCTTCAAAGAGGTATGAAAGTGCAGTAAATAATCTCTCTCATTTTGGGGCGCATGTGATTTATTGTTCTTTTGCAAAACCTATTTGTTCGAACAAGAAATTTCTTCCTTGTTATATCTGGAAAATAAATACATAACATAATTAAATGTGGATCCTACTTTACGGTTAACACTGAGTGAAATAAGACCAGACAAAAAAAATTGATTTGTTTTAAACAGGCCTAAATTTCACACTAAATTTTAAAAACAAAATATTATATATGAAATTTTAATAATTAAGATCGTACTCAATTTTTAATCTAATATTTTGTATGGGTGCATATTTAATACAAATTCCCAATATATTTTGCAAGTACAAATTTCCCGTTTTTTAATACTTTTTCGTTTTCCAAATGAACATTTTTTGATTTCAAGTTTGTAATTTTCTTTAATTTACGTTTTATCAGTTTATTTTGTTACACGGAGAAAATAGGTTTAACTTTCAAATATTTAATGCGGTATTTCCTTTTTCGTTCGGATTTTGGAGATTTTAATTTATTATATATACACATACAAACATTTAGTGATTCAGCTTTTTATACTAATTCAACACAAAATCCTGCTTCTAGACTAATAGATCTTCTGAGGCAAGCTCATTTAGGCTACGGAAGCGTGAAGAAGGTGTATACTCAACTCAAACACACAAACTGAAACTTATCGGAAGGAATTTCTTTTTGGGGGCCAACTAATCTTTTTAGCATTTATTTCAATGGATTCGACTAAATGCATATTTGAAAAAGAAAATACGTTCTCAAAGATTTGGGGACTTTTATAGGGATAAATAATAGGAGTATGCTGAAATTTTATATATTTTGGGTACCTATGTATTTTGCTGTCGAGTATTTTGTGCAAACACAAACTGTCGTCAGATGGTTCAGTTTAGTGCCATTAGTGAATAAATATGTCCTCACACCACACTCGTAATATCAGTCAAACTTTTATTGAAAAATAAGGCGACTGTTTATTATTCAATCGAGGAAAGAATTTGCCGAAATATTTATTTGGTGCCTATTACATAGGAGATAATTGGTAAAACATGGTAGCTCATTTCAATATTAAAAGAGGAAATAGATCGAGAATACTGTCCATAACGATGCAAATTTTCGTCGAAACCAAACGATACTCTCATTTGTATACATAATGGTTACATAAAAATTACCATGAGAAAAAAAAAAAAAAAAAAAAAGAAAAAAAAAAAAAAAAACCTCCAAATTTCTTTTAAAAAATGTCATTTTTGCTTGCAAAAAATTGATATTAATTAATATTATTGTCTCCCATTATAATTCCTAGTGTTTTTATTCATGCTGAAATAATTTTCGTTCCAATTTCTCTTTTAAAATTGGTAATTGCCTTTTAAATTCCTTTAGTATCAGAATTCTTAATCTAGACCTTCAAACTCATTTTCCACTTTGTCATCAAAGGCCTAAAAATACATTTTCTTTTCACTGTTACTTCGAATTACTATAAATATGTTTTCTGAATGTTAACTTTTTTCTTTTATTTTTGTTTCTTCAATTCCCGTATGAACTCTCTGTTTTCAAGTTGCCGGTTCAGAAATGTACCCTTGTAAAGACATTCGCACTTTTATCCATACTGTTCCCAAAAAAACACAAATCTTTGTAAATGTGCCCGCAGCGTTATTCAAATTAGCTTCAGGTTTGAAAAAAAGCAGCCTTCATACAGGTGCGGAAACTTTCATACCGATGTACTACTATACAATTTGAGTTTTAACTTGCATTTTTTATTAGAAAGATAAATAGAAATTCTATTTGCATGCTGCGCACCTCAGCATAATCGTGCCAACATATTTACTATAGTTCTCCATTATGAAAACATCCACTTATTGCATATCGGTTTAGATTTATGTAAATCAGTTAATTTATTGCAATCATTTATAAACCATTCAGGACACTATTTCAAAACTGCATTTTCATAGAATTCAAAGCAACTTAAAGCATTTAAGAAGCCGTTATGATACTCCTATATTTTCAATAATATACTGGAGCGGAAACGAAATAAATATTCATTGATTAAAGTAGAATGTAGAACCCACCTTACTGGAAGGATCGCACAACCTATTTAGGACCAGCGAAAAGAGAAAGAGCGCTCCGAATCTAAACCACATGGGTTGTTTAGGTTTAGTTGATTATGGCAAAGCACACTAAGGCTATCTGCCTAACTGAAGGGTGCCTTAGCCTTCGTGGAGGACTTTCTAAGGGAAACTGACGCGCATACATGTTACACATGGGAAAACCATGAAAGCGTTCATGCAGTTCACCTCGAATCGAACCCAAGTCGGAACAACCACTGTTCAGCGATTTTACCGCTCGGACATTGGTGGGCCACGTTCCCACGTAACCAAGTGATATTCTTTGTTAAGTCTAATTTCATTTAAAATCATTTCTGCAATTAAATACTCTGAAATTATAGTTTAGTATTATTGATTATACCTGAATATGTTGAAATAAAATTTTCATGATATTTAAAAAGAAATAATTACGATTTTTAAAGAAAATGGTTTTATTTTAATAAAAAATAACTTGTATGTATACCTGTACATATGATGCAAAGAAAAAAATAGACACTTTAAAGAATTAAACAAATTATTAGTAAAACTACATGTTATGTCCAAACAAATTCCATAAGTATAAGGAAATGAATGAATTATTCTCATTTATAATTAGTCCTATTAGCGTTTATCCCCCCGAAAGAATCGAACACATGCAATAGTTCACATGTTTCAAAAAAAAAAAAAAAAAAAAGGAAAGAAAGGGGGGAAAAAAACTCGGAACTGAAAGCGCGTATTGAAGGTAACTGCTCTGGAGAACAGTATACGAACATATAAACGGACTTCAGCAGTCGTCTAATGTCCTTTACAAACTTAAACAAAACATTCCAACTCGAAATCACATCGATGGGACCACGGACCTCAAGACTCGAAAAAGCTAGTCACATATGTGAAATCATGGGCCACGAAGGAGAATTTCGTGCTCACACATATGTGATCACGGTCCTGAATAAAGCGTATGGTGAGCTTTGCAATACGCTTTAAGTAAGTGATGTTATTCCCAGCCGGAAAGCTTACCAGCAGCTGAGTGGTAAAGTCGCTGAACTCCGGTATTTAGAACTAGGTTCGATTCCAAGGAAACAGGCTAACTGCATTGGCGTTTTTGTTGTTTTCCCATATGTAACGTGACTACCAACCGGACATCCATGGAAAGTTTTCCACGAAGGCATCGCGAGCCGTCGTGAGCATCGCCTGATCAAATAAGCCAAACCCAAAAACCAATCCTACTTTAATCAACAAAATATTTGTCTTGTTTTTACTGTAGTGTTTTGCTTCCGGAAATATGAGAGGAGCTTTATCACTTTTTAAAAGCTTAAACTTGCTCCATGTAAAAACTCCATTTTGACTATAGTAAATCTTTTCTTGGTACTATTCCGTTTTGAGGGCCGTAAAAAAATTGCTGCGAAAATGTATGCGCAAAAGCGCCAAATCTAGCGTACGCGCTGATTTCAGATTGCGTAAGTTTATGTAGTTCTATATTTCTTTAGACGCCATTGAAATACTAGTTTAATTTTTAAATATTTTCTATTACTTTTTTATTTTAAATCTTTTTTTGATATCCTATGGATTCAACAATTTGAGACTTGCCCATGACGAAAAGTCTGCAATAGAATTTTGGGTAAAGTGCAGAATCACTCACTGCTTGACGCGTTTTTAAGAATTGCACATACTCGGTATCCATATACACATCGGCCTATTTTCACTTAAAAAGTAAAAGAAAATTGACAAAAATCCAATTGTTTTTACCCTTGTAAAAAGCGGCAAACAAATAAGTGGGCGATTCTGCACTTTCCCGAGAATTTTTCAAAGAAAAGACATCATTCATTATAGAAAATTATGTCTGAACAACCAACGAGATGAAATTATGCTTTAGCGATAACTCGGTACCGAAATGGCGATGCAGGCATCCATTCAGTTATGTTTCGGAAATTTTATATAAATTATAATAATGATCTGAAGTAGTTATTTACTCTTATGCTTCCATTCAGTCATGTTTAGCCTTTTTTTATATAAATTTATAATAATAAAAATGTATTATATGAAATTAACTTTTCATCTAAATTAAAACATCAATCTTAGATTGTTATTTACTATTATACTTACTTTCTTGCGTTAGGGTTGCCGCAATTATTTTTGGCAGCACTGGCATCAACAACAGTTTGGCGATTTTTTACGGCCCTCAAAACCGAATAGTACCCTTAGACCGTGTGAGAAATTTAACGGCTTCCTGAGTGACCTTAAAGCGTATTTTCATGATGATAAATTCAATCTCAAATTCTGCTTTTTATCAAACTAATAAAAAATCTATAACTTTCTTTTTCTCTCTCTTTTTACTTTCCAGTGCTTTCGAAATGGGAAATTTTTCATTTCTGAAGCGTATGTTCAGCTGTACACACAAGGCTAAATAGGTTTTAATTGCAATTTCTAATGCTTACGCAATTCACAAATTGTAAATGTATACAGTTATTCATAATTTCACAAAGCATTTCAAAAATTTATAAAATATAAATTCAGTAAACCTATATAAAAATTATATGTTATTTTATCAAATGTTTGGCGAAAAATTGCATGTTTCAACATACTCGTTTTTTTCTTCTTTTACTTTTTTTTTTTTTTTTTTCAATGAATACGCACCACAAGGGAACAAGCTCATTAAATTAGTGACTGCAGTGACCAATAAATTAGAGGATTTTTTCATTTGTAAAATAAACAGAGGTCAAGTAAATAATACTTTTTTAATATGTTTTACTTATACGTTGGTAATATTTTTTCATGCAGAAGAATCAAAAGAACCAGGCATTATTCTTCCTGCTGTTCTTGGAAGTATCGTATGCACGATGTTGATTATGCTGTGTTTAATTGCTTGTGTAATAAATAGAAAGTGAGTATCTAATTATTTCCTAAGCCTTTATTAAGACTGTTTATATTACATGATATTTTGAATATTATTACAGTAGTCCAATATTCCAAGAATCGAATGATTATGCTTATGTGGTCAAGAAATATTGCCCCTTATAGAGACATTAGGATTTTTTCGAAGCAGGAAAGATGATAAATGAGCAACGCCTTCTCTAGAAATCGAACCACGGACCTTTGGAATCTGCACCCAGCGTGCAGACCATTACACCACGAAGGCATGCTAAGAAGACGGGAGAAATACCTTATAAGCTAAGCTAATTCAGCTAATATTTCCTAGGCGTGAACAAAAATTAATTGAAGTTTCTTGGTGGGCAGGAGGAATGTAGGAAATATTATTATTAAAAGAGTATAACCATAAAATGCAAGGTAAAACTATTCAATCCATGCTTATTAATCTTTCAAAAGATATGTATTTATTATATGATGTATAATTATTAATTGTATAATTATAATTATTAATTGAAGCTTTCACGCTTTAACTACTTAAAATTGGTTAATACAAAACAAAGCACACATTGCAACCTTTCTGGTTATTTATGTTTTAAATAATAAAACAGCATATATCAAGTGAGGAAAGATCCGAAGACCTTACGAAAACAGTCCTACCGTTACAAAAAGTTAAATAATTCATTGGATTCCTGAATAAATTATACTCATTTTTCAGTTACTATCATAGATTGCACAGCTGCTAACGTATGTCAGATTGACACTCATATGGAAAAAAATTACAGTATATTTCTGCCCTTGAATTTACCGCAATCGATAGCGTTTATGTTCAAGTTAACAGTTTACTGTAATTTGTGTACGAATTGAACAGTAGTAAGAGTTGTAAAGTAATTTGTGTGCGAATGGAGATATTATTATGTTCTGAGAGCTAAAAACGTGAAACATCAGCTAAGCTATCACCGCTAAGCTAGCACGGACCTTCGAATTACTAGCTGGACGTGTTATCACTTACACCGCAAGAACAAGCATGGAAAATTCGATTATTCCTTATAACCATCTGAAAAGCATTCTTGAACGAATAACCATTGCACATAATTCTGAGGTGTGGAATTCGGAGTTCTTTAGTTCATCTGAGACTGATATAGAAATTAGAATAATAGAGTTTAAGAGAATTCTGCTAGAAGAACTAATTAATATCCTGGCTGTAATACGATAGTGCAGCGATTATATTGGATTTCGGTTGCTTACATAACATTTTCCACTAAATTTAAGATAGCTCTAAGTGGAGTATGTGATTACGTCTTACAAAAAGATGTTTCCGGGGAAGCGTAATGGCAAACCGCACATTGAGTTCATCAATATTAACGAATTTCATATCCTGCGCATGCTCAGTGGTTTACCGTTGGCGTGGGAGGAAATGCTGGCGCCTAAGTCTGCGTTCAGACAGCGGCGTAAAGGGCATAGAGACGTAGTCATGAGGACATAAAATACGGGAATTCCGTTCACACCTGCGAGAACGGGGTGTAAGCCGTGGTCAATGAGAGAAGTTAAATTTGCGCATGCGTAGATGTGTCTACATTTTTCCCGCGCTGTTCTCATTCTCGATTGATTTCCCGCGTTCGCTCTGCTTGTTTTGTAACAGCGAAATCTTCTGTAGAACACTGCTTCGTTTTAGCTTCGTTTTGATTGGTCGACGCTTATCCCAAAACTCGGCGTAAAGTTAAAAACTTTGAACCCTATGCCACGAGCCCTAAACCAGATTTTGTGAAGTAGCAGAGACTGGTTGTCTTGGCAACGGAGCTCGGCTTTAACCACTTATGGCCTTTACGCCCCCGTCTGAACGAAGCTTAATAAGGGGGCATAAGCAACCCTACACAAGACTGCGCGTCATGTAGGTCTTATCAACTGTTTACAATTGGAATACTAACGAAATTTGTTTGTGCTTAATGCATTTGCTTCTGTTTCATTTCATTTTGGTTTATTTTGTTCATAAACGTTATGTTTAATATCGGTCATTTATAATAATTTCCTTGACTTTAATTCAGTAATTTAAACTGGATGTATTCTTTAATTTGTTAAAAGTATATACGACTGGAACGTATGATATACGCAATTGCTTTTATTCCTCAATATAATCAATAAAGATTCAGCTAATATACTACCTTGTAATGTTCCCTGTTTTGTAATCATTCTTAAACGAAAATTTGCGTAATTTACGATCAATATTTACACTCTAAGTAATGAAGCAACTTACAGCATAAGTTTCAAAATCTCGAACTGTTTATGCCCGGATAACAGAATATCAACCACACACCGTATTTATCTTCCTTTAAAATTGTACCAAAATCCTAATTGCGCCAAACTCTCATCTGGGCATGCGCAGTAAGTGAAATTCATTTAACATTGATCAACCGAATGTGCAGTTTGCCATTACGCTTCTGCCGGGGCGACAAGACAACGTTGGAATGAGAGCAAACCTTTTTAGACACTTTATATAATTCAGGAATTTTATGTATGTCTGGAAATGAGGTGGCTGAACCGGCTTTAGAGTCCTAGCAAGGGCTGTTTGACTCTTGACAAAACTTCGAAAATTTGCAAACAAGTTAAAGAACTGGGTGCTGGTAAAAAAAAAATAAGATGGCTAATTTACTTTCAGCTCAGATCGACATAGAAAGAGATCTATTTAAAGAAAAGACAAAATCAATACATGACCTCAATAAGCAGTAAACGTATTTAGAATAATATAGTATTTAGAAGTATTACACATAATTTACATTGTAATGATTTAATTTTTAAATTTTAGTTTGCTCTTTTTTAATTTTTTAAACGTAATATCCGTTTTCTGCTTTTAAAAGTTATTCAATGACAGTAATACAGAAGAGCAACTGCAAAATTATTTTTTTCTAAAATTTCGTTTTATTGCTATACTTGTTGTTGCTTGTAGTTAATTAATAGTTACTATTAGTACCATTACCAAACCCCAAAACCGTCTTAAATTGCGGATGATATACCCCAAAACCGTCTTAGAGAGGGTTTTCTATACATACACGACTTTTCAACCTGATTTGCAGCCTATAAATTCCGTTTTACATATTTGCTCTGACTGGACAGACATTCGTTTATCCAGGTTTTTCTAAGGTAGGCTGTTAATTAGTCATTATTTTAACTATCTTAAATTGCATTGGATTAACAAGCTTTGGCAGTATCTGATCTAAAGCAGTTCTAATTAGTCAGTTACTCATTTACCCTGTCAAAGCTGGACCTCCTTAATTAGCAGTTTTTATCCAACCTAAAGTCTATCTTGTCATACAGCCATTGGTTTATCAAGCACACCCATACCGATAGAATAATCAGGCTTTTTTCGGATATTCTTTAGCGTAAAACTATAGTTTAATTTAGTGATTATATTTTCGAGTCGCGGTAAAGTGAAGCTTGTTGTACTTGTAACCTTACGATGGTATAAGTTGCTCAGTTGTCAAAATGACAGAACCTGTATTACATACAGGCTACAGGTGTTGTTTTTAGCATTTTCATATAAAACATTATCCATTAACATATCAAAACGTAACTGTGAAACTAATGTATAAATGATTCGTAATCGTTTCAAAAACCTAAAAATTAAAAGCACATGTATTAGGCTTTCTTCTAGAGCTGCAGAAGAAGCGAAATCTTTAGCTCGCAGTTTATCCGTAGGAGCTCCAGATGAATCCATTTCGAACCACAGAATGATTCACAAGAATAGTGTACAAAGAACGGAACTCTGAAGGTTATAAAGAAACTTTGTTATCAGGTTTGTATTATTGTTTGTTATCAGGTTGTATACCAGAATTTCTTAAACTGTGGGTCGCGACCCCAGTTGGGGTAGATGGATCTGCAGTAGTGGGTCACCAAAAATTTTAGCAGTTTTGATACTTCTTTAACTTATTATAATAATTTTACAATTACCACATATTTTTTCATAATGCATCTGAAAATGGATATAGATAGATAAGATAATACAAACAAAGAAAAATAGAAAAACTTTTCGACGCATTTTTTATAATAGAAATGTTCATTTTATTTTAAAGATTAAATGACCTAAAACTGCAATAGTGTATTACAGTACAAGTGAAGAAACTGACAGTTTCACTCACGCGTGTGTGAATTTGCGCAATGCTTATGGGATCCCACAAAATTTTAGTAAATATTATTATGGGATCCGCACACCAAAAAGTTTAAGAAACCCTGATTTATACAATCTTAGATGAAATCCATTTCTTACTTAAATTAAATCTCTTCTCTATTGTCTATTACTTACGAAAAGATTATTTTACACAGACATTTCATCGGTAATAACATTGTTTTTCTGGTATGCAAATTTCGTGAAAAATATTATTATGATAAAATATTTGAAATTGCTGTACAGGAAACCAGGTAGTTAAAATAGAAAGAGGAAAGCGCTTTCCATCTTTTCCCACTGCCTATAACTAAAATCCATCTGACAAAAGGTGCCTATGGTTCTGTATGAAATCGTGTTCATAAAAGCTGGTAAAAGTTGCTTACTTCTGTGATGTTGTGTAAGTGTATTTCCCAGTATTAATTTTTACATATCCTATAAAATTTACATTGAAATAAAAACACTTTGTTTTTGCTCTAATTTCTAATATTAAAAACAATGGCATGGTATAAGTTGCTCAGTTCATCATGCAGTACCAACAAAGTCACCGCACATCATGCAGTACCAACAAAGTCATAAAGAAAAACTGTGAATTTTGAATGCAATATAATTATACAATAGATTTTTGAATTGGTATTTGTACATATATCAATTCTTTACTTTGACAACTTTATTTACTTTGACTTCATTTCCTGACATTTATGAGACTGTTTTAATAAATTCTTTGAAAAAAACCATCTGTAAAGAGACAAAAGTATTTTTTGACAGAAAAAATAATGTGGCTATTATTTATTTACAAATGCTTGGTGTTTGGCTCTTAATGCACTTATTGTTTTGCAAGACCTTAGATTCCAAACCCTTTACGATGCTTTCATACCAGCGGTTCAGTCTCTGGAAGATTTCTTGTGGCAAACTCACATGTGAGCGTTGCTTTAATGAAGGCTACAATTAGCAGCGGAGACGCAGCTACTTATTTCAGACCAATGACACAAAATCAGTCAAATCATTAGGTACATAAACAGCAGTAAGTACACACAAGAAATAATCAACTAAATTCCTATTCAATTCCTGTACACAAACCCACAGAAAAAATACAAAATAAAAAAGGCATAACGAACACACAAATAGTAAGTAAAATGAAAAAAATTCAGAACTTCCCATTAATTGAAGGGTGAGCACCTTGGAGAGCATTAGTTTGAGTCATCTACATTTTGAGGTGAATGTGAAAGAGCGATTGGATATCTCAAAATATCATCTGCCAGTCAAACCCAAAAAACATCAGTGAAGGAACAACCAGCATGCTTAATAGCCTCCCGAGTTTCAATGAAATGCCGTTGCTTAATAGCCTCTTTAGTTTCAATGAAATGTCGGTACTTAATAGCCTCCCTAGTTTCAATGAAATGTCGTTGCTTAATAGCCTCCCTAGTTCCAATGAAATGTCATTGCTTAATAGCCTCCCTAGTTTCAATGAAATGTCGTTGCTTAATAGCCTCCCTAGTTTCAATGAAATGTCGTTGCTTAATAGCCTCCCTAGTTTCAATGAAATGCCGTTGCTTAATAGCCTCCCTAGTTTCAATGAAATGTCGTTGCTTAATAGCCTCCCTAGTTTCAATGAAATGCCGTTGCTTATAGCCTCCTAGTTTCAATGCAATGCGTTGCTTAATAGCCTCCCTAGTTTTCAATGAAATGCCGTTGCTTAATAGCCTCCCTAGTTTCAATGAAATGCCGTTGCTTAATAGCCTCCCTAGTTTCAATGAAATGCCGTTGCTTAATAGCCTCCCTAGTTTCAATGAAATGTCATTGCTTCCCCCAGACTGTCACTGACACCAAAGATGTAATTAAATTTCTGGTGCGCTCCACAGTGCAGAAACTATACTAGGAACATCAAGCTAAGGATCCGAGGTATTATTTACAAGGAAAGGTGACATTCTAAAAATGGAAAAATGTTTTGGCCCTTTGTTGGTGTAGGTGTCCTTATTTCACTTGACTGTCCGTTAAATACTCTAAGGGACATATACAATTCAGAAATGTTTTCGTTTTCTCAGTTAAAAAATCTATTGAAATTATATATTTTCCTGTAGCAAATGTTACCATTTTTATAAAAGACAATTTTTTTTTTTACATTTTAAAAAGGTGCTCTTTTAAGTGTTTAATTTTTTTAAGATATTCTAAAGAAACTTAATACTGGGATAAAATGAAAGTTATAAGTAGGAGAAACAGGGGTATGGTAGTAAGATTGCAGTTGTATAGTTAAATTATCACGTCTTTCACCAATATTGCGATTTCTCTTTCATTTTATTTTCATAGCTTAATGTAGCAGAAATTTATACGTACGATTATTATTAATACGCTTTGTTTTCATTACAGGTTCAGTTACCAAAAATCAATTGAAAAAGGCGGCTCTTCAGTTGTTAAAGCAAAAGAGCACATGAGGAACTCCCCCATATTTTTCCACCAACTAAAAATTGCTTTTTGGCGGACATACAGAATTTGGAATCATAAAATCCATTTAAAAGTGTACATTTTCCTGCATTCCATATCATTGCTTTTAAAAAGATGTTAAAAAAAAAGGACATTTATATTAAAGTATAAATTTTGCATCCTGTTGCTTAGTCATTTCAATTGTAAATCGCGTTTTTAAAATTTTAGAAGCATACAAGTTTATGAATCTGTGCCAATGAAACAAGTAATTACATTAATTTTCAGAATTTTAATAAAAAATATGGTCAAATAAATGTACATAAAAGTGTTAGTAAACGTTCAAAAAGAATTTCATTTTTAGGAATGCGCGGTATATGTGAATGCAGTTAGCTCAGAAATGCCAGAAATCCTTATAAAAGGATATTTGTAGATATACCGTTTTACCTTGTAATAGTGAATGCATGATTCAGCTTTACAGTTAACACGCGAACCGCGGAGTTTGTCTGTAACTAAACGTACGATACAGGCCATTTCACGAAATGGAATTTTATGAAGTTTTAAGAAGAAAATTTAAGTATGCGACAATAAAACTGTGTCATGATTTCCTTTCGTAACATTAAAATCAGAGGTATGCGTGTCACACATTTTTATGAGCATAAATTTTAAATATAAACTGAGCATATAAAACATACACTGTAAATACATTTGGGCAATATTGTAAATACAATTAATATTGTTTTAAAATCAGATATAAAAACATATGCGAGAAATGCATTATACAAGATCCGTCAGGAAATTTTGTTCAACAGATAGTATCTGTGTACTGGTTTCAAAGATGATATCTTCACAGTATGTAATATGGTATTTTCTCAACACATTTCGGCACTCTCATAATTGTAATATGGGATGTATGACGTTTGATGGGGAATCAAGTGGCCTTGGTGGTCCTTGAAAGACGTGATGCAGCGCGCCAGGAAAGTCCTCGACGAAGGCGTCCCTTCACTTAAGTAGATAGCCTTCGCCTGCTTTGCCATAATTAAATAAGCCAAACCAAACTAAAGCGTAATGTAGCGCAGTAAAAGGTTGCGCTGGATATTCTCTGTCAAGGGATTACAGTAACATGTGCACATGCAGTAGCTGCGGACACGTTAATCAACATTATTAGGGCTGGTTGGCATTATGTTATACTAGGAACAGGGGCGTAGCTACAGGGGGGCAATGGGGGCATCTGTCCCCGGGCGCAGAATCCAAGGGGCGCCAAACTGATGTTACGACATTTTAGAATTAAATGTTTTCCATCCTTGGCAAGCAGTAGGGGGCGCGAAATCTTCAGTTGTCCCTGAGCGCTGAAAACCCTATCTACGATTCTGACTAGGAAGCCCCGCAATCATACGAAATGATCGCTGTTCTAGATATTATAAGTTGTAATTAAAATGATTTGCAAAGGTGTCTGCTAATTCAAACTGAATTACCCAGGGCAGGCGGCGAGGACGCCCCTTTGCTTACTGCCCCACGGGGTTTCCCCCTTCTACTTGCTTAATTGTTCAAATTAGAGTGCAACCACTGGCGGTACATTTCTTAAGAGCCCATCGCTAGCTCAATAAATAAAGGTGATTTAAATAATAAAATGTTAATTCGCATGTCAAAGATCTCTTTGTACACAACATTTCTAGTGTAGATCTTTCCATCATTTTTAAGCGCGCTTTGCAGACGACCATCCATTATTTTTAATTTTACGTCTGTTCATTCACGAACTCTTGAACAGGCAACATATTTGGCATTAACAGGCATTTTGACCGTGTCCAAATCCAGGCTCAGGTAAAAAATTGCCAACACGCTTAAGCGTTTGGCTCTGAGACTTATTGATGGTCATAGCAAAGGCAAGTTTTACAGGAAATTGTCTACGTCTCAATTGAAACGGCAACCCTGTGCCGTGGCAACTTCACCCCATTGGCTAGTGCAGTTACGCAAGCAACCAATAAACTATCGGCGACAAACAGACACTTAAGCCGCATATATGGGGTGAAGTAACATCATCTCCCCCGAAACGCCTGGTTCCCGGGCTTAGCGAAGCACACGGTTGGATTCCGCAGGTCCGTGGCACGCCATTTTGACCAATCGCGTCTTTGTGGTACTTTAATTAGCCGAGATATTAATTAAAAACTAATTTCCCCCTGCTTTTCCCTACATTTTCTACTTTCTTTCTTGGGTTTTCCCTATTAAAGGGATTTGTCTACGTGCCAAATTCTTTTTTCTCGAATATCTAAGGAACGGCGCCGATTTGAAATTCGAGACGCGTATCCTCGGATTCCAAACGATTCTCCAAATCCATCGATACCGTTCTCATCTTCGTACGACTTTAATAAGCCGAGATATTAATTAAAAACTGCAGAGACATTAATTTGCGTACTCATTTTTCCGAGTGGCAGCAATAAACTATCGGCGACACACACTTTAGCCGCTTATATAAAAATCTATAAAGGTATTTCTACAGTTTGCTTACATGTGCAACTGTATAAGTAAACTGTCTAGGATGATTGTAACTAAATCTAGTTGCAGAATTTCAAATAAAGAAAAATTCTTGAAGTAAATTAGATCTACGCTCCTACAAATTATGGACCTTCTAGAAGATATGATTGAATAAAGCATTTCTACACACCATCCGAACAACTTTTGATGCCTTCTCAGCAATTTCTTTCAGAGAAACCGTTGCGTAGTGGTACTGCGCTACGCCACTCTTTTCATATTGCGTCCTATCTGCGTCAATTGATAAGTGGATTTTTTCAAAATTTAAGCTTTCCTCTTTATACTTTAGCCTTAGCTGGCGGTAAAGTATTTCTTGGTATTATCATTTATTTTAAATAGCATCACTTTATTTTTATTGTGTCATTTTATTTTTACAGTAAAACTGTTATCTTAATTATGTCCCCCTCCAAATGAAGTGCTAACTTATAGTCATTATAGGTTGTTTTGAAATTTTTAAAACTTTTCTGGTTTTTCCCCTTAATTTAAATACCTGGCAATACAGTCAAAAGTAGTTAATTCGGACACCCATAATCCGGAATGATCTATAATGCGGACCTCAAAGCTAAAATCTTTCTGCGCATGCGCCGCGTTGACGCATGCGCATAGGCGTTTTACGCGTGCGCGCAAAACATTTACGACTGCGCATATGCGTTTGCGCAAGCGCAGAATACGTTTTCGCGTGCGCGTTTAATGAATAACGGACGGTATAAGCTCTAATTGTCTATTTCAGTTAATGTTGATGATTGCGTTGTTCCTTAATCTTCGAACTGGATCCAGCCTATTATTTTTTGCAGACTGTAAGAGCAATTTTATAAAAGTAAGCTTGAACTTTCGATTATGTCAAATAGAATTTCCGATGCTGGAGCTCCCAAAGGATCTAGAAAACGAAAGTATGTTTCGATGTCCATCAAACAAAAAACGAATTGCTACAAAAATTGGATAAAGCCATATCCTTTGTTTATCTAACCGTTCCGAAATCTGTTTATCAATTTCACGCTGCTCTGCGCGGGTGGGGGGACGTCGCGCCGCGCATTGAACTGGAAGTTGATCTGTCAGCACTATCGTTATCTTCAGGGCAGATGTTTTTATTTTATTCGGCTTATAATTCCTTACTAAATGTAGTATTTAATCTCGATGTACTCGTCTTTGATATGATTTAAATCAAATTCCTCGTCATTATAAATATCACGAATACAAATCAAATAGTTTTCTGGTTGCAATTTTCTAATTTCGGCTATGCATAATGTTGTATGTTTTACGCATGCGCGCGTTGAAAGAAATGTTTAATAAAGTAAACAAATAAATATTAAGCTTTTTTTTGTAAATTTTGATACCCTTTAGATCATAATTGCTCATTATTTATAAATTACGATTTCATATTTTTAATTTATAAATTTCTGCATGCCATCTTACCAGATTTATACTGATGATCTATAATCCGGAAAAATCGATAATCCGGAATCGACGAAGTCCTGACGAGTCCGGATTAAAGACTTTTGACTGTAACTGTTAATTCTAATGAATGTCCTTAAATTAAATGCAATCGAGGGCACTGCTTTTTCTCACCTGTTAATATTAAATTAACGGCGCGCATTGCTCTTAATTTTTAAATCCCGCCATCGGCCTATGAGCAAACTACTATTTTACAGGCTACAACCAGGCTCCCTGCATGTTTGAAGCCAGAGAAGCCACCAAAGCATCAAACATCATGAATTCAGGATGGCTGTATTAAGTCGAACCAAATCTATGATATGTGTAATCATAATGACTTATAAATAAACTGGGTACTAACACTCAATAAAGAATTTCATTCATTAAAGTTCATATAGAATTTTCTGTCAGACCCTGTAATTAAGAAAGAGGATTGATATCTTTTAACTCACTCTCCTATTTTTAATCAGCACCTGTAACAGAAATCTATAATTTTATATATAATAAATTTACTGCAACATAACAAAATAAGTTTTCCTCTTAGGTTATGTACTTTTATACTAACTAAACGTAAATTATGTATACTATACAAAAAGCCTTAAGAAAATTAAATAAATAACTGTAATGTTTCTCTTCAATACAAGGATATAATTCTCTAGAATGAACATGATTAAAACTAAAGGTATCTTTATCTTATCAAATATATCATCTTGGAAGCTTAAAATTAATCAAAGAAATCAATATGTAATAAGAAATTGTGAATTGAAAGCAAGTGAGCAATGCATGTTAAATATGCATGGGAAAACTTGAGCAGCTGAGGAAGTAAATCTTCTTTGTCAAATTGCAAAACCAACCGGAAGACGAATTTCAACATCTCAGCGATGAGACTGCTAAGTGGCTGATTGCACACTTCCTAATGCGTAAGAATTAAGCAATCCGATCATTTGAAAATGAAACAGAGAGAAAAAAACATAGCTGCTGCCTTATGCTTTATAATTATTAACTTAATAATCCTTCTTTTGTTTAATTATTTCACTTAAAACTTTCGACTTCTTATTTACTTACTTCCAAGTTATCATTAATTTACATGTTTTCCTTTAATTTTTACGATATTTTTATTCATTATTTATTTAATTATTATTAACGTAAATTATAAATATTTTATATCTATATATTTTAAATGATTTTTCGTTATTTGTTGATTTTTATATTATTTCATTTA